TTGCTTTCTTTTTTACTTCATTTTAATTAGAACAAATTTGCATAAATATGTATAAGCACACTATTTAGTTTGCTCGATTTGTAAACAAAGCTTCTCAGCGGTGAAAAATATACTATTGTGAACAACCTAAACGAGCGAAATTCACAATAGCGCTATTCTTCATCGAATGAGCGCCATAATACCAAATGAAAATTCGTTCGCTCAGCACTTTCGACCACAGTCGAAAATCGAATGCAACTCATAATAGGGGCCAGTTCATTTCCTTTGAGGAGTCACAATGCCCATACCGGCTATGTCGATTTTTTTGAAATTTCGGACACAAATCTTCCAAGAATGGTTATAGGCTAAAACAAAACCGTTATCTAAAGGGGGTGTGGAACCTCCCATACAAATCGAATTTTTCATAGTGCATATCTCTGGAAGTATTTATGGTAGAGTTCTGGAACTTGGTATGGATATATGTATGTATATGAAGTCAATCTCAAGCTCGTGAAAAAATATGGGTTTGTTGGAAAATGCAGCGTGCCACCGTAGAACTTGGAAAAGAGGTAAATGAAATCAATCCCAAACCTATGAAAAATGGGGGTATATGAAAACGATCTCGTAGCCAGCTACGAGAGCTCGCGGTATAAGCCATATAAACTAAAATTCTGGTGATGCATAGATACCTCTGGAAGCATTTACCTAGCATACTGAGATGAGGCATTTTTCCAATGGAAATATGTACAGAAAAACGGGCGCGAAACCTTCTGGAAAGTAACATCATCACAGGGTGTATCCCTAGAACCATGTTAAGCTAAACCTTGAGGGATTACATTCTTGTCAAGACCGACAGGCATAAGCTGAAATTGCGTCGCAAGATTTACGATCGGCTTGGGTAAGGTTTAACCACTTAACCCCCCATTGTTTTCGCCGCTACTGAATTCTATAAACTGTCAGCTTTCACACAATTTAAAATGTACATGTGTATTTAAAAATGTCATGAAAATTGTGTTGCTAGCTTCATTTTGCAAAAATGTTGCAAGTTTTTTCACAGCGTGAACAGAATAGTACTTTGCTGAGGAAATGTTGTCGAATTTCACACTTGTTTCACAGAAAGAAGTTTTATATGCAATTTAACAGCTTTTCACGTGAAATAGGAATAAAATACTATGCTTAAGAACAAAGATTTTTAAATCGACAAAAAATTAATAAGAAAATTTTAAGTATTTTAGATTTTGGGTATGGTAGCACGAAATGTCACAATCTGCTTAATTGTCAGGTTGTTAATATGCCGACGGAAAAGTGACAAGGGAACTACCTTGTTTTTTGTATCATGCTATCTCGTAGCACGCAATTGAATTTTTAATGAAACATAGAAAATGCCTACTTAAAAAGTTATTCATCATTTGACACCATGGTACAATAATTACAGGTATCGTCTTTCCAGAGAGTGCATACTCCGATCTGCCTTATTTGAAAAACATCATTGTTGCCGACAATAAAAAGTTTACTGCTAGGGAAAAGGGGTATTTCCTTACCCCATATATCATATATGCACACGTATTTGTTTTTAACAAACCTTCTTGTAGTGGACTTATTTAATTTGCAGAAGCCAAAAAAAAACATTTACTTAGTAAATACATTCAAGATTTGTATAACTCACTTCATTTCAAACGTTTTGTCTTTTGTTTTGTAAAATTATAAAAATTAAATTGAGCGAAAACAAAAAGCAAAGCCAAATAAAAGTAAAAGAATCAACATTGAACTGCATCAAAATGAAAATAAGGGAGCACGAATTTCGATGTGAAGTAAAACTCTCTGGGAAGACAACACCTGTAATTATTGTACCATGATTTGGCACTATAATCAGAGTTCAAAAGAGAGAAATGTCAAAATCACTTCTACCTTATTTAATATTCCTTGGTTTAACTTCGCACATTTATGTGTGATCAAAGCTAGAAATTTTTTGCTATACGTTTGTGAAAAAAAACTTAAGTTTTTGATATCTCACTTATGAGAAATATCATAAATGTTGATATTTCAGTGCTCATACACGAAAAAAATTTTGAACCCTGGAATTTTCACTTCGGATGGATAAGGATCGGGTAACCTTTAAAAACTAATAGTCGTCTTTGAAATATATTTACATATTGTTATTAGCGCCATAAAAAATATTTGTATTCCGCTTCCAATAACTGCAGAAAATAGACGGGTGTTTTTGGGAGGACGAAAAACATCACCATGTACTAGCTTCCATCCTGTTTCTTCCAATGTGTCCTCAATATTGTCATCTGTGTTGTAACGTGCGATATCTCGACGAAGTGTTCGTATCATGATCATAGTTAATATGCCTACAACGATATTTTTTTACAAAAATTAAAAGACAAAAATCGATCTATATACCGGAAAGGAAAAATACAACCACAAGCGAGTTTATGATGCTAAACCAATGAATTTGCACGTCCCTCATACCCAGATACGTATCCCATCGGGAAGCCCAGCTTACTTTAGATTCCTTCCATTCGACGGAATAGGTAAAATATAGCTGGGTGCTTGCAATAGGGTTCACCTAAAATGTTGAAATATAAATACGTTTTAATTAAAGCAAAATTTTGTTTGTAACCAATTGGGGCCTTGAATTGTCTGGAAAGTTGCAAGAATCCCCTTCAAACTTGATTTCTTTGTAGTTGACTGAAGCAGTTTCCACCTCGAAACCGACCACACGGTATTTGTTTCTATATAAGACGTTAGTTAGTAATCATATGCAGAATTTAAATATCAGGTTGAAAACTCACTTCGCATGCATGTGATATGAAAGAATAAACTTCAGATGATTGTTTATATAAATATTGTCACCTTCAACTTGTCCTAGTCGGTAGCCGTGTTCATAAGTTACTTCATTGGGATTATTAACATTTACTATTCTAGTCGCAACTGGTAAATTGTCCACAAGTCTGAAATAAATAGCTTGGATTTTTTTTTTATTTAAGTTGTCTAAGTTATATTGAACTCACAAATGAACGAAATATTCGTGCTCTATTCGCTCGGCAACTATTGCAGACTGATATTTATCCCAATTCATAGGTTGATCCTTCTTATTGCATAGCAACTTGCAGTTAATATTTTCAGCCATACGCACTTCATAAGGCGTATTTACAATTCGATCCCCACGTAAAACTTCTCCCAAATTTTCCGATTTGTATATTAAAGTGCCGTTTTTCGGCAAACAAAATTGAAGGGAATAATACTGGTAAGGCAATTGGGTCCGACTACTTGTCATTTTTACCGCCTTCACATCGATTTTTTGTCCCGTCGAAAACTCAACGGGCGCAACTCCCGGCACGTAGAAACATTCCGCAAGAGAAAACACATCCAGCATTAACATAAGTCGCAGCAGAAGTAAACAGCACTTAGCAAAGAGATAACAAACACAGTTTCTTCTAAATAAAATATTTTTAACATATTTATCAGCAAATTGCGTTAACAATATTTTTGACCTGCCAGCGAAAAGTGGCTATTTATTTTATTTATATATCGAAACTAGTTACACAATATTAAATATCCCTATAAAGCAAATACCTTCATATTCGCGGTGACCGCATGCATAATTTATATTTTCAACAAAACAGATTTCCTTCGTACTAGTCGCAACAGAAAAAACCACAATATAACCCACTCGCCTTCCAACCACGCAGGGTTGCTTTTAAGAAACAAAAAATAATTAACTCCAAATAGTTTCAAAAAGTNAATGACTCATTTTCTAAACGATTTAAATAAAACGCATTTCATAACCTTTTTTGTGCAAACGGCATTTGCGAATTGATAGAAAAGTACTACGGATGGTAAATTTTTGTTAACTATGAGGTGAATGAAAATTTTCAACCCAGTCTGACGGTTTTGAAGAGTTTTTTTGTACTAATTTTATTACTAAGGCGTCTAATAAATGCATTGCTTTTAGTTCTAGAAGAATAAATTTCAGTTAAGACAAGTCTTTTTTGTATAATATCTGATTTTAATTGCTCAACTTCTTTTGCACCAGAGCAACTGTCAAAAATTTCCAGCAATAAAAATTTACGAATTGGCACAGCAGAAATGTAAATTTTACTCGCCATAATAAAAAGTTTTTTCAACATGGAACTTTTCTACTAAGGGCCTGTGCCAATCGGTAACTTTTTTCTCCGTGGTGAGACGGGGTGGAAAAATTTGCTATGGTGTACAAATAAATTGAATTTTGCTGTAGTAAAATTGCAGAGTAAAATTTTGACAGTTGAAAAACCAAACAATAGCTCGTGCGAAAGCTTTATTTTTGTGTGTTGCTGAAATTCTTAAAATTTATATTTATTTTATAATTTGCAAGTAACGTACGCTTTTTATATGCTGTTTCAGCTTTAATTTTCATGTTCACTCCTTATTACCGCCAAGCAATATTATGTGTATACATGGTTATAAGCTGTATATTCGTATTCACCACGAGAAGTGTCAAATTTTTACTTTGATCCTTCAAAATTTTCTATTTTCTATCAATTGGCACAGGGACTAATTGACATGAAATTACTATCTCAACGCTCGGAGCGCTGCCACTGATAAAAAAGAGAAAATTTGGAAAGACCAAACAAAAATTTTGAGATTTTTCGTTGTGAATACGAATACCATAGTTTTTACCTAGCTCATGGAACTACGCAAAATTTTGACAGCTTGTAAATATGTATACACATAAAGTTGTTGGCGGTAATAAAGAGTAAAAATCAAAATGGAGAAAAGAACAAAAGGCGTACGTTAGTTGTCAGTTATAAAATAAATCTAATTTATTTGCGAATATTTGTTTATTCTATTTATTGAAAGGCAACCACGCGGAAAAGCTTGTGTTAATTATATTGATAACAAAACCTGGCAGCTCGCACGTTGTCTAAATTCTCAAGTAACATAAAATCCACAAAAGAATACATTGCTTGTATTACCATCAATACGCCATGTATAAATTTTAACAACACACAAAAATAGAGCTTTCGCATGAGCGTTTGTTTGGTTTTTCAACACCATTTATAATTTTCTTTTAATAAAATCACGATTTGTCAAATACTTAAATTTATTTATCTAATAATAATGCAGCACACAACCCTGAAATCTAACAAAAAGTCTGAGGAAGGCAATTAAATATCAGCACGCAACCCCGTGCCTTCCTCAGGAGTGAATATTACTACAACAACGACTGCTACAACAACAACTCAAAAAGGTTGGTTACTGTCTATACTGTGGAAAAAACTTTCTTGTCTTCTTCTTTAAAAGGTCACCATTAAAAAAAACCCCGATTACCGCAGAACTCCACAGGCAAACACCGATGGCCATTTTGACGACCAATATAATTGCAAGTTTTGTGTGTGGGCACTTTGATGTCTTGAAATAAGCAATTGCCGCATGACGCCACCAGACAACATTCTCTCAATTTCGGTGTTTAAAAACATTTAAATCTTAAAAAAACTTGCTGCATGATTTCCTGAAACGTAATCATAAATAATCCAATAGGGAACAGAGATTTATTTTGATTTAATATCAAAATTTCATCGATGTTACAACCAGCACGCTTTCTTTCAAATGAAAATATGGTTGTCAAACTATCGAATTGCCTGCAATAGATGTCAAGCAATAAGCGCTGACATATATTGCAGCCCATGAGAAATAAGCGGTCTCCATTGGAAATATATTTTGTGACATGGTAATCACATCATCACTTGGGGTGTTCACAGTTCGTTCCAAATAGTGTCTGAAAATGTAGACGTCTACATTTTAAGACGTTTTCTAACCGTAAAATCTGTGGTGTTGTTGTTTCCCATACAAAATTGGAAAACGACGCCGTCTATATTTTGTCACTCTCAAAGGTATGTTTTTTACGCGTCTACATTTTGCAACCTCGCAGCAGGGTTGCATTATGGCAATACTAATCACATTTTTTTTATTTATTGGGCACGTTTTCTGTGTTTGCATTTAAATTGAGCGCAATTTCTGATGGAAAGAAACAAATCAAGGAAAAGAAATAACAAATATTGGTAATTAAGTTAAATAATTTCAATTTTTCGGAAACAAAATCGAAAGGCGACATAAAAAATGCACGCAAGGAAGAAATGTCTGGCAACACCAGCAAAGTTTNGACGATTTTGCGACGACTGCTAGAAAGGGGTGCTCACAGTTTGATGCTAAAGATGTCTCAAAATGTAGACGTCTACATTTTCAGACACAATTTGGAACGAACTGTGAACACCCCAACTGTTTTACTGTGGAGACAGGGCCTTAAAGATGGGTAACTCAGCATGAACCAATTAGAACAGATCTGACCGGTTGAGAACACAATTGGGGTGTTCACAGTTCGTTCCAAATAGTCTCAAAAAGTATAGTGTAAAACGAAATTTATTGAATAATTCCACATAAAATGGTATACATAAATGACGCATTTTCTAAACGATTTAAATTAAACGCATTTGCGAATTGATAGAAAAGTACTACGGATTGTAAATTTTTGTTAACTATGAGGTGAATGAAAATTTTCAACCCGGCCTGATGGTTTGATTTTATTACTAAGGCGTCTCATAAATTCATGGCTTTTAGTTCTAGAAGAATAAATGTCAGTAAAGACAAGTCTTTTTTGTATAATTTCTGATTTTAATTGCTCAACTTCTTTTGAACCAGAGCAACTGTCAAAAATTTCCAACAGTAAAAAGTTACGAATTGGCACAGCAGAAATGTAAAATTTTCTCGCCATAATAAAAAGTTGTTTAAACATGGAACTTTTCTACTAATTGACATAAAATTACTATCTCAACGCTCGGAGCGCTGCCACTGAGGGCCTTTGCCAACTGATTAAAAAGAGTAAATTTGGAAAGGCCAAACAAAGATTTTGAGATTTCTCGTTGTGAATACGAATGCCATAGTTTTTACCTAGCTCGTGGGACTACGCAAAATTTTGACAGCTTGTAAATATGTATACACATAAAGTTGTTGGCGGTAATAAGGAGTCAAAATTAAAATGGAGAAAAGAACAAAAAGCGTAGGTTAGTTGTCAGTTATAAAATAAATCCAATTTATTTGCGAATATTTGTTTATTCTTTTTATTGAAAGGCAACCACTCGGAAAAGCTTGTGTTAATTATATTGATAACAGAACCTGGCAGCTCGCACGTTGTCTAAATTCTCAAGTAACATAAAGTCCACAAAAGAATAAGTACGCCATGTATAAATTTTAACAATACACAAAAATAGAGCTTTCGCACGAGCGTTTGTTTGGTTTTTCAACACCATTTATAATTTTCTTTTAATAAAATCACGATTTGACAAATGCTTAAATTTATTTATCTAATAATAATACAGCACACAACCCTGAAATCTAAGAAAAAGTCTGAGGAAGGCCATTAAATAGCAGCACACAACCCCGTGCCTTCCTCAGGAGTGAATATAACTACAACAACAACGACTACTACAACAACAACCCAAAAAGGTTGGTTACTGTCTATACTGTGGTTGAGAAGCAGCCATTTGTAATAGCAATTGAGAAAAAAGTGTGTGACGTTCGTAATTTTGAAGTTTGCTATTTCTGTTTTGCTTCTTTCTTTATGTGTATTTTGTCGGTGGTTTATTTCAGTGATTTTTTGTGCAAATGTAATTAAAATAAAGTGCGCGGTGATTGGATGCAAAAACACGTACAAAAATAACAAATTGGTTAGCACAAACATGTGCACAACATTGCTTGCATTTTTTCTTTATGCTTCGTCTTCATATTCTTTGTTTACTTTTCACAGAAAATAACATGGCGCCGAAATTACAAACGTCAGCCAGAAAATTACTTTTTTCTTTTGCTGCATGTTGTCAGATCTTATGTAGTTGGATCATGGTAAGCGAAGCTATTGGGCCCTGTCACACGGTCAGTATTTATTGACGTGATCCAAGTATCGCGATATTTATTCTTGATGCAATAATAAAAGGTTGTATCAGTTTTGACAGCTCGATTTGACACTGCCTTAGCTCAGTAGAATAAGAAGAAAAACGGGAAGAAATGAATCCCCATTTGGGGGGAGAATATAAAATTTCATATTTTCTTCTAAACAAAATTTTCTTTTTTATAGTATATTCGCAATGAAATGAAATAAAATAAGATATAATTCCTGTTTGGGAAGACAAAATGTGTATACTGACAAGAAGTAAAAAAAAAATTCAACTATATTATTAGGCAAAGAATTGTTAAAGAAGCAGCACTGCTTCAGCTAAGGCAGTCAATATGGCGGAATTAGAGCGAGAAGTTGCCAACCGATAACACCTTGTATTATTGCGTCATGATATTTATTGACGGTGGAGCATGCAGTTTTGATGGATCGATATCGAGAAATTGCAAAAAATGCAAAATAGAGCTATGAGCTTCATATTAAATAAGCGTTATGGGCAGGGTGGGCAAAAACTCGGAGTTCGAGCGAGCGAGCGAGCAAACTCCTACTCAATGCCTCGCAGACAACGAGGCGCTCGCAGCTCGTACTCCTAGCAGCAATGAGGCGAGGCATGAGAAGTTTGGCTCGCTCGCCAAACGAGCGAGCGCTGCTTGTTTGCTCGCGCTCCTATTAAACGAGCGAGGCTGTTGTGTGTTGCCTCGCTCGCAGTGCGAGGCGAGTAGATGTCTGCATACTCACTCTGCTAGGAAAGACGAGTGAGCGACGAGCGAGCGCTCCGAGTGTACTATACA